TCTTGGTGCAGATTTCTTAGGTTTAAAAAAAAATTGAAGCTAAGGTCATATCCTTATTACTGAAATTGCTAGGTTCATGTTAGCTTGAGTGACTTAGAATTCTGGAGAGATTCAGGAAGTCTTTATGACAAACTTTGGGTGAATAATACTTCCATGATTCTGAGAGACTTGCCATCTTAAAGGCTGTTTTTATCATAGCCATCAAACAGGGTTCCAGTTATGGTGCATATTGAAAAAGAAGAATGAAAATAAACTGCAGCCTTTTCTATGAAAACTTCTAAGAAATAGCTATATGACTTATGTGGTGACATTATGTATGTGCCTTTACCTGATCCCCAGAGATAGTTCCTTTGTTTTTAATATTTCAATCTTCTAAGCCACATCAGCAGCTGTTATTTTAAATGTTTCTTTCTTCTCCTCTAAGTATGAAATCTCTTTATATTCTACCACTGGCTAAAATTGTCAGAAATGCCTAAGTGATTTTTAAGCTTAGCCCATTCTCTTTGGCAGAAGTAATCTAGATATTGAATTGCATATAAAGTAGTGTCTGATATGTAAGAACTACTGAAGAAGTTCATCTTTATGTAAATGTAACCTTGTTAGTACTGCTAAAGCCAGTGAGAAATATGTTAATTTACTGGCTGTGTATGCTGTGTTTCGGTGGCACATATTTTCAGGGCTTTGTTAGCAGTTATTAAAGAATGTAGGTCATCTCATTCACAGAAGGAGCAAAATATGTGCTTGGTTTTTTCCTTTTCCAAGGATGTTTTTGGAAGCCCAGGTCTGATGGTCAGCACTTGGGGCTTCTCTGTTTTTCACAGGTGTGTCACGTTGCTCTGAAAAGAGGGTGAGGGAATGGAGGCAGCGGCTACACCTGGGGAGGTGGTACTAATTAGGGACAAGCTGCTGCTGCTGAACTCTGGGGCAGGTAGAAATACCAAGATTGAAGGGTGGAGCAGGGAGCAGCTGGCTGTGCTTCAGAGAGCATGGGAAGAATTGCCTGCAAACTCACAAGCTTAAGTTTGAGCTGTTTCTGGAAAGAAGAACGTGCCTCCAAGAAAATGGTAGTCTTACTTCTTTTCTGTCACATTTAAAATCTTTATTCAGATAAAATATGGGCTTTCTCAAACTCCTGACTGGCTCAGTGTTCCCTTGCAGTGTGCTTAACTTTTTAAATAATAGTTCTACTTCTGTTGGCTTCGGTGATGCTTCAGCATGAACTTTAGGTACGTAGCATTGGTGGGATTTCTTGGGAAGATATCATGGGCCTGTAGATTCCTGTGCTGGGTGTATCAAAATATGTAAATGTAGCATGCTTAGAGTCTGTGAGTGTTCTGGAGCAGGAATGGGCAGTAGAATAAAATTTAGTCTTTAAACTGAATTCCTTTTTGCGGGAGGTGACCTTTATGTTGGTGTGGAGTTGGATAGTGCGGAGTGGTCCTATTGCCAGTTCTGTTTCATTGATATTTCTGGTATTATCTTAGTGTAAGTACTGAAACAGGCCCTCCTGTATGTGAGATAAAAGACATTAGCATAGACTTCTTTTTTTACAAATAACTAAACTAGATTTTCCTATTCTATCTTTGTTTCAAAGTAGCAGAACAGAGCTACTCGTTATGATTTAGTTAACAAGGCAGCTTGTTAAATCATTGCTTGTGCCCGCAGATTTTTAGTAAGAGAAAAAATTTGAGGTGGAAATCTTGAAGCAAATTTAACTGATAACTCTAAGAAGTGCGTTGTGCCTGACTTGAAAGTCATAGAAATAGGTAGGCTAGTCATTGGAAGGCAGGCCTGTTAAAGCATGTGGAATTTAATTCTAATTTAATTTGTTCCGTTGGATCAGACAGTCTAACTTCTTCTCAGCAGCTTGTAAAAACTGGACTAGCCTAATGTGGTTAAGCCGTGCATCTCTTCATGGCCTTCAAAATTTTGCTGCAAGTACCTGAAGTTGTGTACTCCTCTCATTTCAAGAGCTTGCTCCATCTCTGATTGTGAAACATTGTTTTATCCCATGTAAATTTGGTTGTCTGAGTGCAAAGTAAGACTGTACAGTTCTACAGTTTTACTGAGTTCTTTAGTAAAAGGGAGAAGGAAGGGTTCCTGCCTCAGCTCATATTAAAAAGCAGAGGAGCTTTGTAGGTAAGATTACCCTGAGTGCTTGCTGAAAAGAGACTATGGAATGTTTATTTGGCTTTGATACACAAGGCAGTCTGAAATGGATTCCGTCTGAAATTGCTCCTTGGGCATTTCAGGACAGATAATAAGAGGCAGGTGGTGTTGGGGTGGTTTTTTGGGGGTTTTGTTCATTTTCTTTTGAACAGAGAGGGCTAAACGGGTAGCCAAATGGGAATGGAAATTAAAAATGTTATTGTTGTCCCAAAGTAGGGGTGTCTACCCGGTGTGCAAACGCCAATATACACACAGAGGCATTATCTATTTATTTGATTCCTGCAGAGATGTACATTCTACCTTCTTAAAGTACATCGTTACTTCAGATTTAATTTGTCTAAAAGCCCACCTGTATGTTTATTTTCTATGTAGTAGAGTTTCTGCTATACAGTTGCTTCAGTGAATACCAGTGGTTTTAAGGCTCTCTCTTCATGGCACAGTTTCTGAGTATACGCTCATCTGAGCTAGTTCCTGTGTTATTGCTTACTTTTGTCCTACTCTAGGTTGAACTCTTGTGCTTTATCCCCAGCAGGCAGCTGATTGCTCCACCAGGTGGGATGAGGGAGAGAGTCAGCAGGGTAAAAGTGATAAAACTCATGGGTTGAGATAAAGACAGTTTAACAGGTAAAGCAAAAGCTGTGCATAAGCAAAGCAAAACAAGGAATTCATTGACTGCTTCCCATGGGCATCTCCAGGAAAGCAGGGCTCCATCACGCATAAAGGTTACTTGGGAAGACAAATGCTATAACTTCAAAGGTCCTACCTTTCCTCCCTCTTCCCCCAGCTGTGTATGCTGAGCTTGATGGCACATGGTGTGGAATATCCCTTTGGTCAGTTGGGGTCAGCTGTCCCAGCTGTGTCCCCTCCCAGCTTCTTGTGCACCCCCAGCCCACTCGCTGGTGGGGTGGTGTGAGGGGCAGAAAGGGCCTTGACTCTGTGTAAGCCCCGCTCAGCCAGAACTAAAGCATTCCCGTGTTATCAGCACTGTTTCCAGCACAAATCCAAAACATGGCCCCACACCAGCTACTGCAAAGAAAATTAACTCCACCCCAGCCAAAACCAGCACAAACTCTATTAAGGTAATACCAGTGATGATACCATATCTAAGAAGACCTACTTGGAATAAGAGAGAATAGTATGGTTTCCTAACTGAATTTTAATATTATTCCTCTTAATATTTTTTAAATATCATGTGGTTATTCATGTTAATAGAGGTGGTTTTGGATAGATATCTGGAAGGTTTTGTGTATCCTTTCTCAATTCAAACTATAAGTCTGGTACTTAGGTTAGATCTTTATTCTGGAACAAGTCTTAAAGATTATTTTTTTTCTAGGAGTCTTTTTGTAATGCTTATTGCTTTGAGTATTGAGGACTAAATTACGTTTTCATAATTACTAAATAACGAATACAGAGAGTGTAATGTGGTGGTACATAAATGGTGAATTATGGAAAGAAATAGGTCACATGTTACTAAATATAATGGGTTTTATGTGTTGTAATCAATACTGGAAGGGCCAGTATTAATTATGGGAAAAATAAACAATCGTATTTTATTACTGGTAGCTCCCTATGTGCACAAACTTGTCTTCAAATTCTGGGTCATTTCTATAGAACTCATTAAATTATATCTTGCCTGTGTACTCAACATTTTCTGATTGCATCACACTTATTTTCTTACTCACTTCTAACAGCCTTGGGAATTAAACTTTACGTTTAATCAGTAGAGTCCTCTGTCCTTTTCTGCTCAGCGTGTCAGTCTCAGAGTTTCTTTTTAAGTTTATATGCTAAGTTTGCCTGCAGATATTCCCTGTTAGTGATCCCAGAATTGTCTTGACCAGAAACAGTTCAGCTATGGGAAGACAAACTTTAACACAGTGTGGCACGGACTGGACTAGCACCGTAGTACTCAGTGTAAAATATCCTTACTGTTCAGATCTCGCAGTTCAGCTATGGGAAGGCAAACTTAACGCAGTGTGGCACACACTGGACTAGCACCATAGTACTCAGTGTAAAATATCCTTACTGTTCACAGTTCAGCTATGGGAAGACAAACTTTAACACAGTGTGGCACGGACTGGACTAGCACCGTAGTACTCAGTGTAAAATATCCTTACTGTTCAGATCTCTGTAGTCATGCTCCTGTGGTCACACCAAGCAAAGAAACACGTAATTATGGCTACCTGGAGAGTCGATAGGAATAGGTCTTGGCCTTCTGTTCAGAAAGAGGCAGTAAAAAAAAAAATTTCATGGCAGTAACTGAGAATTTCCCTTGTCTAAAGACTATGTATTTAGTAGGAAGCTAATCAAACTGGTTGCTATCAGCTTTTTATTCTGTCAGCAATATTCTGCTTTGGGTGATGGAGCTCAAGCTGTTCCCTACCTAGCAAAGCACACCATCTTAATGTAAAGGTTTTGGGTAACAAAGAGCTACTGTAGTCTTGAAACTCGTCCTGAGTTACTGCTATAATAAGTCCTTGGATTTATTGGCACCTCACATCTGTCATAACGGTTCCTGATTATTACACTGCATTGTTATAGCTGAATCAAGAGTTGTTAAACACAAATCTTCCTGTCCTTACCCTTCTTCCAGAAGTTTTTAGTCATGGCTGAATTTTATCAGTTATAATACCTGTTTCTCTTCAATTGGATCATGTTATCATGATCCTTCTATATTAGAACATCTTTTCTGTAGTTTTCAAAACCTATGCAGCTCTTACTAAGAGTGAGTTGGTAATAATACCTTTTTTAATAATTTGATTCTCCAGCACTCTGAGGATAAAGTTAAAAATACGTATGCAACAAATGCACTTTTTCTTTTTTCTTTTAAACAGGCTTTTAAATTTTCTTCTGTCGAGAAGCTGGACAATGTTCTGACTTTGCTATTGAAAAGCAAAATATCTACTTATGAATTCAGCCCGTTCCGAAGTGAAGAAGAGCACCATCAACAAACTAGTGAGTCACTTCTCGTATGCATTGATTTTTATTACTGATGCTATGGTTGTTACTTATAAATGTTAATAAGACAGTCTTTAAATATTTAAAGCTACTAGTGAAATGCAGCTATCCACAATAAAGACAACATAACCAGGAAAAATGGGGAAAAGAGTTCTGTAAATCATTACTGTGTGACTCAGTACTGTGTATTTGTACTTGTCGGGATGTTTGATCAACTTTGGATCAACTGCAAATTGACACCTTTATAGCTGAGCAAATTTATATTTATGGTGAAAATGGGCAATAAAAGGCATGAGGAGATGCCTGTAAATTATGTATTTTTTTTCTAATTGTTCTTCTGCAATACAATTTAAACTTCACTTTCTCAAAGTCTGGTGACATAAAAAGAAAATTGGAAAGATTTCCCTGTCTAAAGAGAATGGATGGCTTCTGAACTTAGAACAGCACTAAACTTCTCCATTCATTTTAGTGTCGATGCACTTGATAGTTTCCATTACTTCTGGCCAAAAGGTAGTTACGTTACTTTTAATTAAAAATAAAAAGTCATCCCAGTGAGTTAAAATAGGATTTCTCTATAAAGTATACACACTGTTTGCACAATTCTGTAGTGTATCGACAAAATCTAATGTTTAGTACCAAATGGAGCATCCTTGTTGAACTTGTTAACCACTAATTAAGGATTCAAATTGGTTTGCAGTAAACCAAGCCATTATTTAGTTTCTGTTTTAAAAGTGTCATTATGATGTCATTTCAGATGAGTGTTAGACCTCAGCTTTTCTAAGAAACATTTGGGGAAAAACAAAAGCCAAGAAAGTGTGTTTCCCTTCTGAAATACTTAAGAAAGAAGTGTTTGAGTTACTGGCTGAGTCCTGTTTTATGTACCCAGTCTATGGTTTTGAGAAAATAAGCTCACTACGTCCAACTAAAACATAACACTTCTCATTACCAAATCTAGCAAGTTTTGAAGATAGCTCTGCTGCGATCACTGTCACATTTCCTTTCCTTTTCAGTAAGGTTTCTTTGATTATGGAATTCACCCCTCTCTACTAGTTCAATGTGATTCTACTTGTATTCTAAAAACAAGCTTAAATGTGAGTCCAGGTTAGTGGAAGCAAACAAGTGGGGTGTTATGTGAGGTAACTGTCCTTGACGTTTTCCTGTGCAAAACTGCAGGATGGGCATGTATAGGACACATTAGGCAGCCATTCCTAATGCGAAATGTTAGTTCTCATAAACAGATTTTCTGCTTCTCTAGTAACCAGATAGATCTGAGCACACTTTGAAATATTGAGAATAACGCTGAACAACCTGCAGTCCCTGCGTGGTTCGAGAGTAAGTGGACTGCTTGCAAACTTGAGCCAAGTACCGACCTTAAAATTAACTGCTTTGATCTGCAGTGCAACAGGAAAGTACAAAGTTAGATGCCTATATTCTTCATGAAAGATGTGGTTGCAGAGCTGGAAGCACTCAGAATGTGGGAGGCCTAGGCTCTGATCCCCCTTTTGCCTGAGGGGTATGTAAACCCGTGTCCCTGAAATCCTCTAAGAGCATCCCAAACAGGCATTAGGCGTATAGGTCTCATATAGAACTAGCATCAACTTGTTCAGCCATTTTTATAGCATTTTATTCCAAGCACCATTTTAATTCCAATGAGAAAATGTCAAAGAATGAAAACTAATTAAGTACTTTTGGGAAGGATGTGAAGCTACCAGACAAAAAGCTTTATAGCACTGAGATGAATTTTTCTTGTGTCTCTGAACAGGCAGATGAATCACCCCTAACTTCATAATTTCTGTACGTGCTGCTTTTCTTTAGTGGTCAAAATAGGCTAACTTATGCTAGAAATCCAGTTTTCTGTTTCTAGGGGGAACACACACACTTTGCATTGAGACATACTTGGTTGAAATAGAGACATGTCAATAAGTCAGAATACAGTTAAACTTCTCAGTGGCAACTGTGACTCTGTAAGATTCCTGTCCACTTCCAAAGTTTGCTTCTAAAGGCTTCAAAGCCTATGGAACTCAATAAAGAGAGCCTCTGGTTAGACTTCATATCAAATGCTTAGTTGGTAAAGCTTTAAATATGTAATTTTCCTCCAAAAGCTGGAGTGAGTTTTTTGTGCATCTAGCATCTAATGTACTATACTATATCTTCTGGCTTTTCAATCTGGGTGTAATAGCTCTAGCTCAATAATAATACCTCTACCCAAAGGTAGATGTACTCGGAAGCTAGATGCTTCCAAAGTAAAGATGCATTTCTTTCCACCTAAGCAGTAAAAAAATCTTACATCTCTTTAAACCTTATCCTTTGACTGTTTCATGACTCCAGTCATTGGCATGACTACCTGAGATCAGTCTTGCAGCACGATAAGAGAAACCTTTCTCTGTATGGTCTTACCTTGATTTTAACTTTGTAGCTAGCACGTCAGAATACAGCTGATAAATTGCTGTACTTGAGACTTCTCAATGTGAAGAAATAATGAAGAACTTGTGATTACTTTTATTTGAATAACTAAGGAATTGCATGGTTTGACTTCTCACAAAGTGTACAGCTGAGTGATTAAAAACTCAGGAGTGTAAAACTAAATATAAAATCTAATAGGACAAAAGCGTGATGTAATCAAAGAGAAATGCAACGTGATGCTTGCTTATATTAACAGTGGTTTAGATCAAGACATCACCAGATGTGTGTTTGCTTACATCATTTTTTCAAGAGCTGCTCCCCTCCCCAGAATGGCTGTGTAACAACTTTGTAGTATGATGAATGCAGTACTTGCAAGAGGTTGGTGTCTAAGCTGGCAAAGTCAAGATGGGTGGCAAAGAGTCAACTCTGATACCGTCTTACTTTCAGTGCTCCTATTACAAATGTCTGAATAATCCTCTCAGCTAGCACTTCTTTGTTTGGTTCACTCTTCAATGCATAATTTCAGATTTACTAATTTAAGGCAATCTTATTTTGTCTTTATTTTGTATGCAGAAGCTCTATAAGAAATGCAGTGTCATCATTTTAGGTGATAAGAACAACAGTATGCATGTGATATTACTATAGCTCTCACTGTATGTTTCCTATTGTGTACATACATGATCATATTTATAGTATTTTCTGCTTGCAGACCCTGAGGCTGTTTACTTGTCTATCAGTTTCTATTTATTCAAATTAAGTTGGAGACTTTGAGCACCTTGTAGTTTCTTGTTTAATGTGATCTTTTCTGATTGACTGGTCAGGTATATGTAAGTAAGCCTGTAAATAAGATGTGCTTAGGATAGAATCATCCATTGTTATTTCCTTGGGGTCGACTCAACTATAATATTTTCAGTATTTCTTTTAAATACTAATTAAAAAAAAAAGGGCAAGATGTCCTGAAAAACTTACTATGTTACCATAATATCTAACAGAACAACTTTACCTGCTTAGGTATCAATGGATATCGATTTTTGATAAGGGAAGTTTTGATATGGATTCCAAATATGTAGTCTGGAAATTTGAATCTCTTGCTGTCTAAGTAAGGAGAATTGTTTGAGCAGCACACCAGACTTTGTGAAGTTCCTTGCTATATGAAAGCTAGGGCTGTTGCCCGACAAGCACTTAAACATGTATGAAATGGTCTTTCTCTATGGGATCTCACTTGCTGGTCTACATGCAGGAAGGAAATTACATCTCTGCCTAAATGGAGGCAGTGATGATGCTATATTTTACTTGTTTTTTAACCTTCTCTTAAATTCATCAATATTCTTCAAAAGAAATTGATTTATAAAAGGCAGCAATTGGAAATGGTAAAAATGTTCCCATTTTGTGTGCTGATTTTTTTTTTTTACAAACCATGGTTTCCAGTGATAACCATTGGAATGTATTTTGCCACACATGAGTTTCAGTTGCTTGCCTCTGATGAAATATCCTATTGTAATACTTTTTGGTTACTACAATAACTAAATCAGGAGCCTTTACCAGAAAAATAGTGTTGGAATTGCTGTATATGCAAAAGTGTGTCGGAAATAAATTACAGATTTCAGACCTGAAGTGTGCCTTTTTTAAATTGCTTGTTGTTATTATTGTATGATACATTTTATATAGTTCTAAAGAATTTAAAAGTATCTGAACTTTGTCAAAATATATTTAGGATTATGCATGGATATTACCTACGAGCAGTATAGAAGAATTAAGATTTTATTCAGATTGTCAAGGGGAAGAATGTTTTAGTAATGAGTGATATTTAAAGAGATTATTCTGCAGTCTCTGAAGGGGAATACTTGGAACCCCAATAAGCTGACAAAGCTAAACACAAACTGGATAGAAGTCACTGGAAAAACACAGTGTTTAACAGTAGCATTAACTGAAAGACAGAGCCGAGGCATGTTTGTAATTTTTACTGATGGTGTCCTCCATCCCTTGTGGGAAAATAAATAACTAAAGCAGGAGGATTGTGCTGAATATTGTACATTCTGTACCAAACTGATTTCAGGATACCTTGTATGTATATTATTCCTTTATGTTCTGGCAATCGAACCCAGTCAAAACATGCTAACAAATCCAAAATTCATATTTCAAAACTTTACTTGAGCTGTGGAAGCTCTGATTCTGTTCTTGAATCCTAAGGATTGGGAATTCTTGGTGCATTGATTCCTGTCCAAGGATGGCAGTTTACTTAAGGAAAGCCTGTTTCTTTCTCTAGTATTAATGAGTTCTCCTGTTTTTTACAAGTTATCTGTTACTGTTACTCTGATTAAACATCAAGCCTTATGAAAAGTCCTGAATTTACTCTTTTTGTAGAAAACACTGATTTTTGTCACTTAGCACTGCTAGCAACATAACAAGTCCTATCCTAATTTCTCTAATTCATCCTTTCAAGCTGAAACATCTATTCCAAAAGAAGAATTAGTGTCTGGGTTTTCAGCTGCTAGCAAAAAAATGAAAGAAAAGATAGACTGGGCAAGAAGAAACAGATGGGCCTTTAAGTATTCCTTTGGTTGAATTGATATTGACGCTGTAGAAGTAATTTT